TTGGCTTTCTTGGCCACCTGGGCACACTGCTGGCTCCTGTTCAGCCGACAGGCCACCAACACCCCCAGGTCCTTTTCTGCCAGGCAGCTCCAGCCACTCTGCCCCCAGCCTGTAGCGCTGCAGGGGGTTGGTGGGACCCAAGGGCAGGACCTGGCACTTGGCCTTGTTGAACCTCATCCCATCGATCCAGCCTGTCCAGATCCCTCTGCAAAGCCTCTCTACCCTCCAGCAGGTCGACACTGCCACCCAGCTTGGTGTCGTCTGCGAACTTACGAACTTCTAATTAGCTGGGCCACCATTAGCCCAAGTGCCAGTCTAGCTTGGCTGCTCTGGTAGACTTCGGGTCATCTCTGTTAATACCACCCATTTCACGTGGCCTAGGGGTGCCTCTGTGACCAGTGTCCCCTTTGTAAGGTTTTTGCAAGAGTCCTGCACAAATTCGTGGTTCTGACTCTGCCCGTCAAGCTGCACCTACCCCCATTTCCCCATTTTTGCAACACTGCAAAGCCTTTGCTCACGTCGTGTCTTGTCTTGGCCCACCACCTTCCCACAGTCAGGTTATTTTATTTCTGCTTCTGAATTCAGCTGCGTTTTTGCATGGCCTCTGCCTCTCTCGTTTTACATACACGAGGTACGTGTGGCACTCTGTGAATAGAAAGTTCTCTTTTCTTCTCTCTGCCTTAGCCACAAACCTGTGTGTCAGGACTCCCGGTGACTGGCCAACTTCTCCTCCCTGTCTGCTTCCTGGCCCCATGCTCTGCTGCTGCCCATGATTTAAGTACCTTGGGAAATTCCTCTGCCTCTCACGGTGTCTTTGGCTTCCTATTAAACATAGAGATAGAATTTCTGGCTCTGGAGACCCCTGGGACCTGGGAGACTGGTCTGGGGAGCTCTCACTTTGTGCACGCTCCATTTGTCTGCTCCTCCCTAGGCATCTCCTGGTGGACTTCAGGACAGCTGGACCTTTTTTTCTGACCCAGCTCAGGTTTTTATGTACTCTCGTTTCATTTTTTTCCCCTGGTCTCAATCTGGTCATCCCATAATTGAAAATCTATTAATGGGCCGATGTCCAATTTAACCTGGAAGTCTTCAGTAATATCTTATTCAATCAAAATGGTCTGGATCCTTCAGCTGAATTCTCTTTCCCCGCTCTTTGTAGCATACGGCTGACCAGCTCTCTCTAATTTGATGGTTGACTCTAGTGATAGAGCCAGCCTAGATAATTAAAACTTTTTTTCCTAAAGGCAAGTACTCACTGCCATAAGAGCTGAACCCATCAAACTGCCTCCCAGGCACCCTGTTTCAGAGCCACTCCGTTACACCACGGTTATGGACTGAGTTGAATAAACCTTCCAAATGTATTCTCTTCAAAAATGATGGCTTTTGCACTGATTCAAGTGTGACAAACGGTCTGATTCCCTCCTCCTGCAGACTGAACATGGAGGTGAGTGTTTGGTAGTGGGCAGTGTTCTGGCTAGCCCTTGTCTACAGCTGGTTTTTCTCCTGTGCAAACCTTTGATTTCCTTTTCTGAGTGTTTTTTTTTCAGTTTCTTAACTCTTTGCTGTGGTTCATCTTGGCTTGTACATTGGCCAAAGCTTTTCTTGTGCCTCCTATTTTCTGGAAAACATTATTTTCCATGACAGTCATGCTGCCGATCACCTCTTTGATCCATCTTGCCATTTTAAACTGGGAATCTTCCAGGAGAATTTCGCACTCTCTCTGGACACTGAAGCCTTTTATCCTCTTTTGCAGGTGACCTCTTATAAACCTCTCTTAGAAGTTTCCAGATGTTGCTTGAACTCCTTTTTCAAAGTCTCCAGCTGTCTCGGCTCATGTTTTGCATCCTTTGGTCATTTTTGATTTCTGTTCCCACTCGGTTCCAGAGGAATCCCAGAATTAAGACTTCTCCTAGAAGCTGAATCTCACTCCAGACATTGTTTCCATAATTTGAAGATTTGCAGGTTGTTCCAGAGAGGAATGAAGCTGGCAAAGATGCTCCAGAAATGCTCCAGGTGATTCACAAGGGGTGAGAAATGTTCGCCCCTCCAGAAATGTTCGTCCCCTGCTCCCCACCTCGTATAATAGTTACAGAAATCAAGCAAAGCTCTGCTTTCTTGCCCAGGGGAGGAATCAGCTGGAGGAAACTGTCTTTTCTTTAGGAGTTCAAGCTACCTTTGAGTCAGCACTCCCTCAAAAGGTCTCCATGTGCTTTATCTCAGGGTCAAGCTCCTTCTTTCATTTGGGCTGCGCCTCCAGTTTTCTTGATGCTTTCTCAAAGACCAGCCCAGTCAGGAGGAGAGGAATTTCATGCTGAAGGTGGTTGTTTCTTTCCACTGACTGGCCCATAGCTCCGTCTTAGATATCCAACATGGATGTCTAACCTGGGGCAACCAATACCACCCTGCATGTCTAACCACTGCTGGGACATGCCAACACCCAGCAAGTTTCACTTGGAGCCTTCAATCCCCTTTCCCATGGGAGCAGGTCTGCATAGTCCAGCCCAGGTAATCATAGAATCATAGAATCATTCAGGTTGGGAAAGGCCCTTGGGATCATCGAGTCCAACCATCTCCCCTACTCTACAAAGTCCTCCCCTACACCATATCCCTCAGTACCGCATCTAAACGACTCTTAAACTCATCCAAGGATGGTGACTCAACCCCCTCCCTGGGCAGCCTGTTCCAATGCCCCACCACTCTTTCGGTGAAAAATTCCTTCCTAATGTTCAGTCTAAACCTCCCCTGTTGGAGCTTGAAGCCGTTCCCTCTCGTTCTGTCACTAATTACCTGTGAGAAGAGACCAGCACCAACGTCTCTACAGTGTCCTTTCACGAAGTTGTAGAGAGTGATGAGGTCTAAATAGTTGCAGAGAGCGATGAGGTCTCCCCTCAGCCTCCTCAAACTAATCAGTCCCTTGCTTTTTCTCACCAGCAGCAGGTTCTCCCGACAGCCTCTGGAGCAGTCCCCAAGCCTCTCCTCCTGACACCCCCAAATCACCCCTATGGGCATTTGGCATACTCAGTCCCAATCCCTTGCTTTTCTCACCAGCAGCAGATTCTCCCGACAGCCTCTGGAGCAGTCCCCAAGCCTCTCCTCCTGACACCCCCAAATCACCCCTATGGGCGTTTGGCATACATTGATGCTGGTCATTGATGCGGCCCCGGGCTAACAGCTCTCCAAGCCTGCGGCGCCACAGGCTCTCCTGCCAGGCAGGACCCCCCAACACCTCCTCAGAGCCCCCACTGCTCCTCAAACCACACTTTGTGGTGTCAGCAGCACCCCCTCCCTCTCCCCCCCAACCAGAAATCACGGGGTGCCCTCCCGGTGAGGTGACCTGCAAAGCACCATCGTTACGATACGGGGCTCTTGTCTCTCTTTTGGCTTTATTTTGATTGGGGTGATTCCCTCGCGGTGGGTGCCGTGGGTGCCCCCAAAAACTGCCCCCCTCCCTCGGTGCGTGTCGGAATTGGGGGGGTGGGGAAAGCGTGTGTGTCCCGCACCCCCAGGAGCCGAAGGCTGCGGGAGGGAGGGCGCACAGCTGGACGGCATGAACGGCAAAGAGGTGCGGGATGGTGCGGGGGGGTCACGGCAAAGAGGTGCGGGATGG